AATATCATGGATACACTAGATGTACAACAACATCTGAAAAAGATTCACCCCAGTCTAGAAAATAATGTTTATGCTGCCAATAGACTGCCCATGTACACCCACGTGCCAACGTATATAATATGTAATTTGGATACAGATGATAAACCAGGGTCACATTGGGTAGCTTTATATATCGATACGAATGACGTCGGTCAATATTTTGATTCCAACGGACGAGCACCTGTACGAAATCATCTAGAGTTTTTAAAAAGGAATTGTAAAAGATGCAACTGGAACGTTGATAGGATTCAGAATGAGTGGACTTCAGTTTGTGGCGAATATTGCTTAATGTATTTGCTATATAAGTTTCAGGGATGTTCAATGCATAGTTTTACGAGTATATTTTCATTGTACAACGATATTTTAGTGGATGAGATGTTTCGCTCCTATGTTATAGATAATAAGTAATAAGATTTTGTATTTCGTAAATAAAAATTGTAACAAAATTAGGTAATGTATTTTATTGATGATTCAGATAAGTGTAGATAGGAACAAAGGAGTATAATACAATAGCACCACGCTGAGGAAGAATAGATAATGACGGTATTCAATGAACAATAGATAAATAGATAAGAACAATGGAGCGCTAATGACGGTGGAGGCCTTCACCGGATATCAATTAGATAAGAGTTAATTGATCTGTGCATCCTACGCAAAAATGGACCGCAGATTCGTGATCAGAGCATGCCAAAAACTTTTTTTTAGGATCGTGAGTCGACGAACGTCGTACTTGTACCACTTCTGACTCAGTGAGCCAGAACTGGTACAACGTAACTACTGTTGATTATTAATCGAAGATAGATGAAGTGTCTATAAGCCACAAAACCCACTTACCATCAGGTGGACTGTGTGATCGTTTGTCACCCTTATTCTATAAAAAAGTAAGTAATGACATCTTTGGATGCGTTCATAAATATTTATTTATTGCGTACAAACAACCAATTACGAACGGTTGTTTTTGCGTCCGACAACAGCAAAAAAAAAAGTAAAATACCGCAGCCACCTTAGGAACTTTATCGTTAGGCCTTGAATCAGTCCGATTTAAGAGATTTTTGGATCGATTCATTGGATCGATATAGTGTTCCAAATCGATCTGAAAAATTGATTATTTTACTTGAAATAATCGATTTTTCGATTAATCTATTTCAAATCGATATGCCTAGTCTGTGGTTATTTACTTTTTGATGGTTGCTAAATTATATATTTGTTTGTTTATAAGACAATAAATATCGTCTCATCGATGCAAAAGTGTTTAAGAGAATATGGATATTATCATGCAGATTGGCCAATTATTAATATTGCACATTTCGGATGTATTTCTCCAATAAAATTTGCAATAAAACTGAGGATTTTATTTTAATTTAATTTTAATATAATATAAGAGTATGTATGTAATACAAGAGTTTACTTTTCCACCTAGAATTTGCGAAATTCTATTATTAAATACATATGTTGAATTATTTAAAACAAATAACAAACAGATCTTAGAAACAATCCAACCAATTTTGATGAAAACTTTTGTGTGTTTGAATAGATCCCTGGATGGTGGTTTATATTTACATTTGGGCCTGGTAGCTGGCGTTGTTGTCGAGATCCATAAATCATCAGTGGGAAGCCGGATTGCTAGTAATAAATACAAGGAAATTATACCAATGTTTTTGTAATCCTTACACAAACAGTTTAAACATCTTCCTTCCTCACTATTTATCACTGTGATCTAATAACATAGATAAACATGATATTACATGGTCATATTGATATATTATTACTCCGGCATTTTATTATGATGTATAAGTACTTACTAATCAACCAAACCATATTAAAACAAAGTCTTGGCACTGCTCCTGTCTGTCTATCTCAATCAATCATTTAAGTTCAAAAACTTTATTAAACTAAGTTTGTATAAAAAGGGTAATTATAGTGTTAAGGATTTAATGGATGATAATAACTCCTGGGTAAGGTGATCACTACCAAGCTATTTCTAATTTGTTCTGTGTTAATTGTAACATACATGATTGTAAGCTGTTATATTAAAAAAAAATTCACTTGGTTTCTTGCTGGTTCAAGTTCAAAAGTTCAAGTTTCTTCCTAACCAGTGCAGTGGTAAATTAAAAAAAGTCACTTTCAATAAGTATTATTTATAATCTATATTGAATGTTTCTGTACTACTATTTATAGAATGCTTTAGAAATTATGATTTACAATAATGAATAGAGTAAAATTATATTTTCCTTTTGTAACACAACCAGTTTTAAACATATTTCTTACCGTGTGTTGATAATATTATAAATATAAAAGGACATATTATGGGCGGGGTGTTTGTTGGGGGGGGGGTGAGGGGGGGAATGGGGGGTGGTGGGGGTTTGGAGGGGGGGAGGGGGGGAGGGGGGAAAGGATATGGGGTGATCCCTTAGTCATCTTGTTTTTAATCATATTACTTTAATAGTATTTGCAATATACACTCACAATTAATCAATACATGTCATTCGATATTTGCGCATAGTGAGTGTGGTGATAAAGATTTTCTATCGATCTTAAAGTACCTATAATTGCTGAATATACCTACCTACTACTTTGTTTTATATGTACTATAGTTATTCAACAGTGCACTATTTTACCTTATAATACCGGCGAAAACTGCTAGAAAATCGCTTTCAGTTTGTTTTTTAGATTACTGTTAGATTCGTATTTTAATTGTTAATTTCTCAGTTCTCCGTTTAGATGCAGTAAAACAAATAATACAATTGTAATCTATAGATTATAAGGAATAAATCGACATGCATTTCATGAAGAATCCTTAAAATTTTTGGTGGACCCAATCTACATACAAAAATAAATTGTCTCCTCTCTGACAAGACTTCGCTTTGTACATTTCTTCTCTGAGTTACTGATTTTTGATTGGAATGTGAAAATATCTTGTTTAGAAATCCAGCTGAGGTCCAAGTATTTTTGATGAATGTGCATGTTTAAAATCAAAATTTTTGTTGTTTTGGTTTTTGTTGACGTTAATTAGTTCCTCTTTGTTGGAATTCCATTTTCTTTAGTTGAATCCTCCTGTCTGAAGAAGGTGAATCAGCTCTTGTTGTAATTCCATTGCTGACGTCATAAAATGGGCTCCATACAGAAGATCATCCATGTACATGGCTTCTTCCCGGGCCTGGATTGCAGTGGTAGAGTAATCATTTTTTCATTCATCGTTTGCTAACCGTTAAAGCGTCATCATGACCAAAAATAAGCAGCTTTTGTGTCATAGGTGACTGTGCATAGTTGTAAGTCTTGTAATGCAGAACTTGGACAATCTCTCCATTTTATTTTTTGGATTCATATTTGGCGAAACATCTTTTCAATGTCTGCCATAAATACTATCTCAAACTGTCGCCACTTGATCAACAGTTTCTGAAGGTCTTGATGTAAGTTTGGACCTGCATACATGACATCATTGAGACTCGAACCTGTTGAAGTCTTGCATGAACCATTGAACACTACTCGCAAGGCTGTAGTTTTCGATTCTGGTCTGGTGCGGTAAATAACATTCGAGTCGACCTACTGAATCAGCGGGTTTCAAATGTCCAAACGTTAGGTAGGTAAATGAAGGCTTTGTAATTTGGCCCAAAACTATTGTTTTTTCTAAACTTTTTTCCGTGCTAAGAAGTTGTGCGATTATTTTTGGAGAAACCTAATTGTTTTTCATGTCCTATTTTGAGTTGAAGTCTGACCTCGTATCTATCATCACTGAGTCGCTTTGTTGTTTCTTCATAGTACTGAATACATTGAAGGTATTCTGCTGATAAGTTGGAATGTTCAGTAATGTCCTCTGTTTCCCAATTTTTTTTGGTTTGTTCGATGTTGTTCAAAATAATATTGCATTGGTATGTTTTTGTACCTCCACACAAAATCCAGTCGAGCCCAGTCTGTTAGGCAATCGGCACAGATTGATTTCTTTTCTGATTAATCTTCTTTTCTGGATATTCCAGGTAATATAATGTTCGAATATATGCCCGCACCCAGAAAAAGATCCACCGGTCTGCTAATGTTGAAATTTGAACAATATACAACTAGCTGATAGTTGTATATTGTTCAACGTTCAGTTAACGAGGAAAATTTAGCAAATGTTGAATTTGATAATTGTTTGATAAGATTTTGCATGATGAATACCGACATGTCAAAGACGTAATTGTCTCCATTGATTAGCATGGTAAGTTAAGTACTCCTTTACCAACTCCAGGAATACTACCCTTGCAGTTTCATCTAGGATGTGCTGGTTGCTGGGTATTCTCAGATATTATCATGACTTGCGAACCCTGATCAATAAGGGTGCGGTGTAATAGGTGTCTGGTTCAGATCCGGCTCGAAGGACCAAAAAGATGTTGTGGTATTCAACATCTTTTAATGTAAATGTTACTGAAAACTCCGTTCATGCACAAAATGTTTAATGTTATAGTGTTTACAAATGATAGGTATGTTAGCACACGCGGCCTTGTTGGCGTCCGTATATGTACTGACTTAAATAAAGTCTTTATAGTAAAATGCTGACGCGTACATAATGTGTTCGGTGCAAACTGAACACTACAAATGCTTAGTGTACCTACTACTTTGTTTTGTACTATTAATTATTGAACAGTGCACTATTTTAACTAGTAACACCGGCGAAAACTACTAGACAATCGTTTTTAGTTTGTTTTAGGTTACTGTGATTTCATATTTTTATTTTTTAGTATTTACATTAGACCCGGTAAAACTATTACTAAATAAATCTACATGCTTTTCATTAAATTACGCCACAATTTGTGGTGGGCCCATTCTACATACAAAAAGAAATTGTCTCCTTATCACTAACATTACAGGCTTTTATGACCCTATATAACATATTATACATAATTCTGTTTTTGTGATTCTGATCTTTTACTATTAATGTAAACTCGAGAAGACCGAGATATAGGGAGGTTATCGTGTTGTTGCAGGACGACATCTGGATAGACGTGGGCGAAGACGTGGCGCAGCGTGGCGCTCCGCTGCTGGCGCTGCTGCCCACCTGCCTACACCTGGTGCCGCTGGCGCACAACGTGACGCTGCTGCTGCGCCGCCTCGTGCAAAAGGTACCAGCTACACTATAGCAGTATGCAACCAGCGTGGAGTTCCGCTGCTGTCGCTGCTGTCCGCCTGCATGAACCTGGTGACGCTGGCGCACAAACTTGATGTTGCTGCTGCGTCGCCTCGTGCACAAGGTACCAGCTACACACTGCTGCAGCCAGCGTGGCGCTCCGCTGGTGGCGCTGCTGTCCGCCTGTGTAGGTGACGACAAACAAAAAATTACGTTACACATTTATTGCAATAAACGTTTTTTTGTTGTATTTGTTATCTTGTAACTACAAGCGCGAGTAATAGAACATTTAAGTTGTTTTATATAATATTCCCAATGATTAAATTACACAAAGTAAATATTATTTGTTAATTGATTTACCTCACAATTAAAATATTTTGTTAATAATTTAATAACAAATTTAATTGATTTAGGAATAATTATCAGATTTTTTATTATAACTAAAAATGTTGTGAGAAATAAATAAATGTTTGTTTTTATTTTTTCATTTACAATTTCAAAGAAACCAACATAACGTTTTAATTTTTATAAATGTAATAGTATATTGATGTAAAGTTAATAGCGCTGTTTTTGCTTTAAATACTGTATTCTGACAGTACTAGCTGGATAAGCCGCGATAGTACCTAACGGGTAGTACATACATATTGTTGCGCGGTTAAGTTGACATCTCATCTCATGGCACTAGCGCCATCTAGTGTCGGGTAACAGAGCGAGGAGAGAGCTTTCCAGAAAATGACATGACAAATTTTTTACCGACAGCGCCATCTAGTATCAAATTGAAGAACTAAACTTTCTATAAGCTCTACACTCGATCTTTCTGCGCTTGGTCGGTTGGCGCGCGTATTTACTCGAATATTCTGGAATATTCTGGATGTTTTCGTGGAAGAGCCCTATATAAAGGCGCTGCAATACGCGATCGGGGAAGTATTGAAGTTGGCGAGACAAGCGAAGCTTCGGAGCGGAATAAAGTGAATCAGTGTGATTAATTATTAGTGTTTTTAACTTTAATTAGTGTAAAGTGAATTAAAGTGTTAATTTAGGTAATTCTATCGGCAATTTTTTTATTGTCACGAACCTCAAGCTCGTAACAATTGGTGTCAGAAGTGGGATAAAATCATGCCGATTTTACCTAAGGAGGAAACGGAGGGTGTCCGTACCCGAAGTCAACGCCAGCAGGAGACGGACCAAAGAAGATTTGGTGGTGCAACGCCGCAGACGTCGGAGGGCCAGCCGCCGGCTGCAGGCCCGTCAGTAGCCCCTACATCTGCAGCACCTGACTTAGGTGCTCTGATGGTGATGCTGCAGGAGCAGGCTCGCCGACAGGAGGAGGAGGAACAGGTTCGTCGGTTGGAAGAGCAGCTGCGGGGCGGGCAGGATGAACAGAGCCGCCGACAAGAGAAACAGGTGCGTCGTTTGGAAGAGCAGCTGCGGGGCGGACAAGAAGAACAGGTCCGTCGTTTGAAAGATCAGCTGCGGGGTGGACAAGAGGAATAGGCCCGTCGGTTGGAAGAGCAAATGCTCCTCATGAAGGATCTTCACGCTACCTTCGGGAAGGAGATAAAGGAGGTTAAGGATAGGGTTGCTCAGCATGACAACCGCCTGTCGGAAGCTGAAACCCAAATCGCGAAGGCTGAAACCCAAATCAAGGAAGCTAAAACTCAAATCGACCAAGTGAACGATCGGGTAGACAACGTGGTGGCTGATGCGAAGAAAACGCTGGACGATCTCAAACTGGGGGATGGAACTACACCTCCCGTAGTAGCTACAATACCTTCAGTACGTGGATTCAAAGTGCCGCCGTTCGACGGGACTTCTTCCTGGGCGGCCTACAAAATCCAGTTCGAGGCTGTTATGAAGGCAAACGGCTGGAATAAAAGTCAGGCCATGACTGCTCTCACACTAGGTTTGCGCGACCGGGCCTTAACTGTTCTAGAAGCTCTCGGTAAAGAAGTGACTTACGAGCAGCTCCTTGAGGCATTGGAGGCTAGATATGGCGACGCTCACCTGGAACACGTCTTTCGAGCGCAGCTTAGAGATCGCGTGCAACGCAGCAATGAAAACGTGCAGCAGTGGGCTCTAGAGGTGGAGAAGCTGGTGCGAAAAGCATACCAGTCTGTACCTGCGCTCATTGAAGGGAACCTGGTGCAGACATTCATCGACGGCATCCGCGACCTGGAAGTCAGAGTTGCTGTGAGGCTCGGGCACCACGAGACGCTTAAAGACGCCTTGGCCCATGCACTGGAGGTGGAAGCCGTGCGGCAGGATCATCGTTCCCATCGCATCAGGGAGGTTGCAGCAGCTACAGTACACGACCGCAACAAAGGATACAGCCCTAGGTGCTATGGCTGTGGGGAAAAGGGCCATCTTCGATCCAGCTGCCCTAAGCGAACCCTAGAAAGGGAAGGTGAACGACCTCAGGAGGGTAGTGCGGCCAACAGCACCGCCCAGCAGCAGCAGGGAAACGAGTAAAAGCCAGAACTGCGGGGCTGGGTGCTGGCTGATGTTAAAAGAGCCCCAAGGATCTCGATCTCACAAACCCATGATGGGAATAGTCTAATCATCAAGGGCGAGGTCAACGGAATGCCGTGTAAACTGACCATAGACACTGGAGCCTCTCATACGGTTGTTAGTTCCCAACTTATAAGTCAGTTCCTTGGGGACTCCGCATAAAACCGAGAACGCATTAATTTGGTAACAGCCACCGGTCAGCGTATACCCGTCCGTGGAGAGAAGGAGATGGAGTTGAAGCTAGGCAACGTGACCTATCTGCATAATGTCATCGTGGCTGATATAATGGACGACTGCATCCTAGGCCTAGACTTTATGAGGAATAATTGTTGTGAGATCGACGTTAAGCAAGGTGTTTTGAAATGTGGACAGGAGGAACTTTTTATGGAAGGTGTGTTACCAGGGAACGTGTACAGCATTAAGAAGATTGTTCTCCCGCCGAGATCGGAAACGATTGTTCCGGTTAGTCTTCCTCGAAATGCTGGGCAACCTCACCGTTGTGTACTTGTGGAAAGGGTAAACAATGACCTTCCATGGAAAGTAGCTCGAACCTTGATCAGGACCACTGACATCTCAGGAGTACGTGTGCTGAACCTTTGTGACCGGGAACAGATTATAGAAAAAGGCACACTGGTTGGTACTTGTGAGGAAGTGGATTGGTTACGTCGGTGCCAATATATATCGAGTGGGACCCTCAGTAAGGATCACATTTTTGGAAGACTGTCGCAGTGTTCTCTCCCTGAACGAATTGGTCAAGGCGAAAAAGTTGTTACTCAAGTACGCCGATGTATTCTCATCAAACGATGCTGACATGGAAAAACTGGCTTAGTTCAACACAAAATAAACACAGGAGAAGAATTGCCTATCCGTCAGCGGCCAAGAAGATTGCCGGTAGCACGTGAAAAGGAAGTGGAAACCATGATTGAGGGAATGGTGAAGGATGGTGTTATTGAACCTTCATCTAGTCCATGGTGTTCACCCGTGGTGCTGGTAAAGAAGAAGGATGGAAGCATGCGGTTCTGTGTTGATTACCGCCGTCTGAATGACGTTACAAAGAAGGACAGCTATCCCTTGCCAAGAATTGATGCCACGCTGGACATGCTTACAGGAGTAAAGTGGTTTAGCACGCTGGATCTAAAAAGTGGCTACTGGCAAGTTGAAATTGACCCTATGGACAAGGAGAAAACTGCGTTCTCGACGGGAAAGGGTCTGTGGCAATTTAAAGTAATGCCGTTTGGGTTGTGCAATGCTCCAGCAACGTTTGAAAGGCTGATGGAACTTGTACTTACCGGGCTAATTGGCGATGCCTGTCTGGTCTACTTGGATGACATCATCATCGTAGGCCGAACGTTTGAGGAACACCTTCAAAACCTGGAACGCGTGCTCATGAAGATTCAGAGTGCCAACCTCAAGTTGAGTCCGAAGAAATGTTCACTATTCAAACGGCAAGTTAACTTTTTGGGGTATGTAGTATCGGAAGAAGGTATCCGCACGGATCCAGAGAAAATCGCCGCTGTCAAGGATTGGCCAGTTCCAAAAGACAAGACGCAGGTTAGAGCATTTTTGGGTTTGTGCTCCTATTACCGGCGATTTGTGAAGAACTTTGCAGATATAGCCAAACCTCTGCACAAGCTAACCGAGGAGAAGCGACATTTCTGCTGGGATGAAAGTTGCAATATCGCATTCCAGGAGCTCAAGGACCGTCTGTGCAAAACACCTATTTTGGGATACCCTGATGCAAGCAAAGAATTTATAGTTGACACAGACGCAAGTGATATAGGACTTGGCGGTGTGTTGTCTCAACGGAATGGTGACCAAGAGGTCGTGATAGCGTACTTCAGCAAGTCGTTGTCAAAACCGGAAAGGAACTATTGTGTCACAAGACGCGAATTGCTAGCTGTGGTAAAGTCGTTGCAGCATTTTAGCAAATATCTTCTGGGACGAAAATTTCGCTTAAGAACTGACCATGCTGCACTAAAATGGCTATTGCTGTTTAAAAATCCAGAAGGACAAGTTGCGAGGTGGATTGAACTACTGCAAAATACGACTTTGAGATCGAACATCGCAGCGGGAAATCTCATGGCAACGCAGATGCATTGTCACGAAGACCTTGTTCTGAAGATTGCAAACATTGTACTAGGCAGGAGAGTAAGGAAGTGGTATCAGTGAGGATGCTCAGGACAGACCACCTCAGCAACGAGTGGAAGGACAGCTTACATGCACAGTAGGAAGATCCGGACATCAAGCCGATTCTGGAATGGATGAAGGCCAGTGCTCCCAAGCCCAAGTGGAGCGACGTCTCAGCGATGAGTTCGACCACTAAAAGCTATTGGGCCCAATGGGACAGCTTGCTGCTTCAGGATGGAGTTCTGTGCCGTAAATGGGAAAATGTTCGGGGAGACAGCTGTCACTTGCAAATGGTTGTCCCTAAAGCTAAAGTACCGGATGTTCTACAGTTGTACCATAATGATTGTTCCGGAGGCCATCTGGGAGTTAAACGAACTCTACTGAAGATCCGAGAACGGTTTTATTGGGTCCACTGTCGAAACGATGTCGAGGACTGGTGTCGCAAATGTACAAGTTGTGCGGTTGTAAAGGGACCTCAGACTCGTAGTAGAGGTGCATTGAAGTTGTACAATGTTGGTGCACCATGGGAGAGAATAGCCATTGACGTAGCGGGGCCGTTTCCGGAGAGTGAAAGCGGTAACAAGTATTTCATGGTTGTGATGGATTACTTCACTAAGTGGCTAGAAGTCTTCGCCATTCCAAATCAAGAAGCTTCAACAGTTGCAGATAAACTAGTTCATGAAGTCTTCTGTCGTTTTGGAGTACCTTTGGAGATTTACAGCGATCAAGGAAGGAATTTTGAGTCTCAAATATTCTAGGAAACTTGCCGAGTAATGGGTACTCATAAAACAAGAACGACTTCTTATCATCCGCAATCTGATGGAATGGTAGAACGATTTAATCAGACATTGGAGAGGTACCTAGCAAAAGTTGTAGACAATCGGCAACGAGATTGGGACAAGCACATACAACCGTTTTTGTTGTCATATCGAAGCGCTGTTCACGAAAGTACAGCAGTGACACCAGCTTTCGCAAACTTTAGAGAGAATTACGGCTGCCTGCAGACCTGATCACCGGGATACCACCTGATGCTCCACGCAGTATAACCGATTATGCAAATGACTTGCGGAACAAAATGAATGACGTTTATGAGCACGTCAGACAATCGGGCCAACAAATGTCTGAAAAGATGAAAACCCGGTACGACCGCAAAATGAACAACAAAGGGTTCGACGAAGGTTCACTTGTGTGGTTGCACAATCCAGTCTGCAGCAAAGGGAAATCTCCTAAGCTTCAAGCTAAATGGGACGGCCCGTACCGGATTGTGACCAGGATCAACGATGTAACCTACCGGATACAGAAAGGCGCAAGAGGGACTCCTAAGATCGTCCATGTGGATCGCCTGGCGCGTTATTATGGGGCCGATAATGCTCGGGACGAGCATTTCTTAGGAAGGGGCAGTGTTGCGCGGCTAAATTGACATCTCATCTCATGGCACTAGCGCCATCTAGTGTCGGGTAACAGAGCGAGGAGAGAGCTTTCCAGAAAATGACATGACAAATTTTTTACCGACAGCGCCATCTAGTATCAAATTGAAGAACTAAACTTTCTAGAAGCTCTACACTCGATCTTTCTGCGCTTGGTCGGTTGGCGCGCGTATTTACTCGAATATTCTGAAATATTCTGGATGCTTTCGTGGAAGAGCCCTATATAAAGGCGCTGCAATACGCGATCGGGGAAGTATTGAAGTTGGCGAGGCAAGCGAAGCTTCGGAGCGGAATAAAGTGAATCAGTGTGATTAATTATTAGTGTTTTTAACTTTAATTAGTGTAAAGTGAATTAAAGTGTTAATTTAGGTAATTCTATCGGCAATTTTTTATTGTCACGAACCTCAAGCTAGTAACAATATTATATACTCTTCAAAATCATTACCCTCCATCTGGGGCAGTCGGGTGATAATATAAATACTTGATAAAGAGATATTTTGTGTTTTATTCGAGGTGTCTATTGTTGAAATCCTCTCGTTAACAAAAATGGTCCCCTTGCAAAAATGGGTGTAGGCCTTTTATCAATATTGGAAATATAATATTATGTTTTTCTTTAGACTAATTACGTATTTAATTGCTTTGGTAATTTATGTTATTAGGATAATTTATATATTAGGTATTGCAATTAAAAAGCGAAATTAATTAATTCACGAACTTTTAATGACGGCACTATAGGCTCACTTGTCGTGGGTAGAGAAAAAGTGTTGCCTGTCGCAGGTTTTAAAAATTCCACATTGTGTGTTCCTACAGTTTAACTCCTGGTTAATGTTCACCGCAGGCATCCTTGAGAGCACTCTCAGAGATCGCGTTAGTGGAAGTGGTGCTCCGAGCCATCCGAGACATTGGCCACATGGAGGACAATTTCGAAGGGCGCGAGCTATTGCTGGAGGATCTTCATGGGCTGCTGAATAAAGTAGCGATTAAAGCCCTGGAAAGCAATCACGGCATGCAGGTAGGAATTTGGAGCATTATTTTTTAGAAAAATATTTTTTCTCAGATTTTTCATCTGTTTATGACAGTCGAAACTAAATCTGTTATTTTCTTTTCAAACTATTCTAAGCCAATGTAACTGAAGATCTTAAAGTACACTGACTTAGTTTAACAAAAGATTATTAACTCTAGCTATATAATACCATTAACAGTGTCTGTCAGTGATGAATCTACCATTAACAGTGGTAGAGCCACGAATCGTTCGGCGAGAAGCAAATCCACCCCGGTTTTTCTGTTTCTATTTTTTTATATATTTTATTTTGTCGCTAATAATGTGGTACACAGGGTATGGAACTTTTTATTCCGTCCTCTGTGATACCCATCGGAAGCTGATCCCAGCCATGGTTTGGTCGCTCCTGTAAAATAGCATCACACTATAAGCAGGAGTGCTACCGGGCCTAAGCTGACGCATCAGCGTCTCAGGATGTAAACATCAGCGCTCTTAAAAAGAAATATAATTCCGCCTTCAGGTCCTTCAAGAGAGTCATCGCCAAGGCAAGGTCTGAGCACATCGGTAGAATTGGTGAGAAGTTAGTTCGCCTTTCTTCGGGAACCCGTGCATTCTGATCTCTGACCAAGGCTATCCAAGGGAACTTCTGTCAGTCATCTCTTCTATCTCTGCACAGAGAGGATGACTCACTGGCCCATGCCGCAAAGGAGAAAGTCGATCGGTTACGCTCTCTCTTTGCGTCCAACGCGACTCTCGATAACGGGGGAAAAAACCCGCCGACTGTCCCGCGGTGTGAGTGCTCCATGCCGGATGTGCGGTTTACACAGCGCTCGGTTCGTAAAGCACTCTTCTCCCTGGACGTCTGTAAGTCGAGTGGGCCTGATGGATGGATCCCATTATTCTGAAGACGTGTGTTCCTGTTTTGACGCGTCTTTTCCGGTACTCCTATTACCTGAATTCTTGGTAAACAGCTTTGGTCCACCCGATTCCTAAAAAACCACCGCACCGACCGCTCAGACCCGTCCAACTACAGGCCTGTCGCTATCACCTCCTCGTTCTCCAAAATAATGGAGTCTATTATAAACTGCCAGCTCTGAGGTACCTTGAGGATCACCAGCTGATCAGTGACCGCCAAAACGGTTTCTGTGTGATCTTCTGGTCTACCTTACTCATAGATGAGAGGAGGCGGTTGAGTCCAAGTGGGAGGCATTGGCCCTAAGTTTGGACATGGCGAACGCCTTCGATCGGGTCTGGCACAAAGCGTTTCTTTCAAAGCTCCCTTCCTATGGGCTTCCCGAGAAATTGTGCGATTGGATCTCTAGTTTTTTTGCTCTGATTACAAGCCCCTTAACGCTGGTGTTCCACAAGGCTACGTGCTAACACCAACGCTGTTTCTTCTGCATATCAATGATATGTTGTAAACTGATCACATTCATTGCTATGCAGACGATAGCACTGTTACCTTACCTGACTGATACCTTATACACCGGCCGTGCAAATATTTCTCGGGAAATCGTCGCCGAGTGCCGGGACAAACTTGTGTCTGAAGTTAAGCCTTTGCTTAACAAAGTCTCGGATTGGGGGGCGACTAAATCTAGTCGAATTCAATCTCCAGAAGAGACAAGTTTGCGCGTTAACCTCTAAAAAGAACCCTTATGTCGTATCTCCTCAGTTTGAAGGCACACCTCTTGCTGCCTCAGCTAGCATCAGCATCTTCGGTTTCGACATATTGAATAGTGTGCAGTTTCGTGGTCACTTGAGGGGAAGGCCAAATTGGCCTCTAAAAAGCTTGGCGTGCACAGCAGAGCGAGACAGTATTTCATGCCGGCACACCGCCTGCAACTTTACAAAGCGCAAGTTCGGCAGCACATGGAATACTGTTCTCATCTCTGGGCCGGGGCACGATTCGAATCGTCGACGACCGAGTTCTTTTTGATCCAATGTTGCATCCCTTTGCGAGTGTTTTGAGGAATTGTTCAGATTAATTCCAGCCGCCAAATTTCACAAACGCATATCGCGTCAAAATTCCCGATACCATCCTCACCATCTGGATGCTTGGCGGTCCACTATTGTACGTTGTACAAGGAGTTTTCTTCCTTGTACAACTTCTCTGTGGAATTGCTTATCACCGGCGACTTTTCCGAAACGATACGACCTAGAGACCTTCAAGGTGACAAACGAGCACACAGTGCACCTGATAGTAAGTGGTTGCTGTGGCCCATAGACATCTACATCTATCCTTGATTACTAATCCAAATGCAGATGCGTTGTTACCCGTGAGGAAGATGGAATGCAAACTGTATCCCCGATATTATTATCATAACTTTCCCGAATTGTATGAAAGCAAATTTATAGATTTATTCACATCAGAAGGGATCCATCACTACATCATTTACGAATATATTGCATGTACGTTTTTTGTGTGACGTGACAGACAGTGATAGAGATGGAGCACCAGCTGCAGTACGTGCAGCAGAGCGCGCGCGGTGCTGCTGCAGCGAGAGTACGACGCGAAGCGCGCGCAGCGCTGCGCTCGTTGCTGCTGGCGCAGCTCGACCACCTGGAGGCGCGCCTCGCTTCGCCCCACGCACACGTACAGACGCACGCCAACTACTTCGCCAACGGTATCATACCTCACCGACTAATTCATTATTTATCTCTATATCTGTCGCTTTCTATTCATTTATTTTATTGTTTATTGTAACAACTTACAACTAAGGTACAAGTGCGACAAGTGTAAACTTGCTTTATGGTCTCTATAAAAATTATATTGTAATTTAGTACAGATAGAAAGCGCAACTTCTTCGAGTAGTTTTGTCGTTTGTTTTATGAGTCGTCTTTATTATCCTTTACGCCTAACGCCTTTATTCTTATTAAAATTGATTTTATATATATCGATCGCAAGATTGTAACAATCAAACATAGAAAAACATGACAAATTAAAACTATACTAAAACTTTTATCCCTTTCTCTTTCATGCATCAAGATAATATTTAATTTTTTTTTTGATTTTTTTTAAATTCAATAACAGACAATACTTTTTACTAGATAATTCTGTGGATTTCTGTTGTAAAACGTAGTTATATACATACATACATACATACATATAATCACGCCTCTTTCCCGTAGGGGTAGGCAGAGACCACTTCTTTCCACTTGCTACGATCCTTACATACTTGTTTCGCTTCGTCTACTTTCATTATTCCCTTCATACATGCTCTACGGTTTAGGGTACTCTTAACCTGGCCTTTTTTCAAGACGTCCCTAATTTGGTCTAGAAAAGTCCGTCTAGGTCTACCCCTTCCAGCACTTCCATTCACACTCGCCTTATACACTTTTTTTGTCAATCGTTCTTCATTAATTCTCTCGATGTGGCCAAACCATCTCAGCATATCTTTCTCAATTTTTGTCACTACATCTTCTTTCAGACCACAACGTTTCCTTATCTCACTATTTCTTATCCTGTCACTTAGTTTAACTCCTATCATACTTCTTAATGCTCTCATCTCAACTGCATTTATTCTACTTTCATGTTTCTTCTGCCATACCCAACTTTCACTTCCGTACATGAGTGTCGGAACCAACACCCCCCTCATGCACAGCCAAACGAGCCTTGTTAGACACTTTCCGACTGCTCATAAAGGAGTGCAAAGCTCCATTCACCATGTTTCCTGCATTCACTCTTCTTTCGATATCACTCTCACACTTTCCATCTCTTGTAAACTTTGACCCCAGATACACAAACTCTTTCACCTGTTCAATTTCATCATCATCAATCACGATATTGCAGTCTGTCACTGGCTCATCTTTTTTCAAACACCATCACTTTCGTCTTCTTTACATTCATCTTCATTCCCTTTCTAACAAAAGCTCCACTCATAGCAGTTACCATCTCTTGCAACTCCTCGGCCGAAGACGTAAGTAATACTTGGTCATCAGCATAGAGAAAACATTTGACGAGTAACTCATTCATTCTCAACCCACTTTCATTCTCTTTTAAATCTGTCAAACAATTGTCCATGAACAGATTAAACAGCCACGGTGACGCTACACATCCCTGTCTAACACCTTTTTCGATATTAAACCATTCAGTGTATGCCCCGTTTATCCTTACACAAGCGCTAGAATCCCTATAAAGAGATTGCAATGCTCGTGTGAGGACACTGCTCACACCGTTCATGGACAGTGCTGACCACAATTCATTCCTCACCACTCTATCATAGGCCTGGCCTTTTCTAGTTATATAAATACTCTTATTTTAAGAATTTGAGCATTAGTTATGAATATGTTAAGGTGCGTTGAGCACTTTTGGCATGGGAAAATGTATTGAATTCGCCTTATCGTTACACTCAAATATATATATATATATATAGTTATTTATTAACAACCGAAAATAATGTTTACAAGTTTGTGAAGCTGAAGCACGACATTCGGTTAGTTAAATTGATGTAAATTCAAAAGCTGACGGTGAGTGTGAAACCTTAAGATGAAATTTGAAGCCAGTGAGAAGGGAAGTAGTGTTGGCTTACATTCGTTTTAATTCATCACTGATCACAATTTGACAGTGTGTGTCGAGTTTAATAAGTTTTCACTTTTGACGTGCAATCGTACGAAAAACAGGTATTTTTAAAAACTAATATTTATATTTTTACAGCTTTTGAGAATAAACTGATGATATCTATTAATTAGATTGACAATGTTCTACACTGTGGTGACAGTCTGATGTTGGTAAAAAGTTATGTTATTTCTTAGTTATAAATGGCTATTGGTTTTTACGCATGTAAATTGGTTGCGTAGCGGTGATAAATACTCTTATTTATTATTGCATAACATCCCGTGTGTGTCGTAAAAGGCGACAGTGGGAAACATGTGGAGGATGAGCAGCAGTGTCTTCATAAGAATATCTAACAATTGCGCGTGTTAACTCACTTGCCAGTTTAGCAAGCGTGGCAAATGTCCCACTTACATGGCAATCTATGCAGGAGACCTGTGTGCGGCAGTGAACTTGCGATAGGTTTATAATGATATATACCCAGATTAACATTATCTACTTGCTACTGATTGCGATAAACACTTCATATTAGGCGGTGCACGTTTCCATATTAGCAACTCATAAAGCATTATTCCGTGTATACAATATTATTAAAGACTTATTACTTAGGGGGATGCCCTTTAAAGTAATGATGGTAGTGATTGTATGCGAGCTCTGTGGACGTATTAGCTGGTGCGGATATATATGAGCACAATTTAAGTTAACAGTATAAATGAAGCTATTTTTTATAGATTACACACGTATATTAACTTATTTTATATTCACGACGTTTCGAGTGTTTTATAGCATCCATGGTCACGGGTGGGGGGAGGAGCCGAGGTGTTTGACTTTCTGATTGCATAGTTGATCACGATTAACTTCATATTGAAATTATTAATTTTTGTTCCGATTTACGCAGTATGAACTTATTGAATCTTGAAAATTTGCAATTGTAAGCTTGAGTTGGGATTTAATTTTATTAATTATAGGATTCCAAGCAAATGGTAGCACTCGGCTATTTAATTTCAAAAGCTTCGCGAACCATCGTTGGAAAGGAATTGGTGTTCTTTAACGATGATTTATGGTCTGTCAAATCCAATGTAGTGCAGGATGCAATTTTGTACGTGGTTATAGAATGCAGAATTCTCGGAGCGTCGATTTCTCATATCAGCTATATGTTTTTAACGTGGGTTTTTATTGATCGTTATATGATATAAAATAAGTTTATTATACGTGGTATAATCCGTAAAAACTAGTTTTATTTAAATGTGTAGTGTGCGCGTCAGCATAAGAAATGATAAGCTAAGAGGCTACAGTAGAGGTGTGTGCGGCAGTGCTGGGCGCGGAGGCGGGCTGGGCGAGCGGGGCGGGCTCGGTGGGCGCGCGTCTGGGCGGCGCGGTGACGCGCGCGCTGCAGCTGCTGCTGGCGCGCTCGCCGCGTGCTAACTTGCGCGACGACGAGCCGCTGTTCCGCCGTCTGCTCGCCACGCTGCTGCGAGGTCAGTCGCCCGACATTACCTGCCTTCCTCCTCACCCACCTCCTCGTAACCCATATTTATTATTTTTCATGATATATATTTATACATGATGAAACACGGCTCGGCCGAGGAAACACCACGCTCACACGCAATACCACCGTGAAACTGTGACTCAATGCTGCTCTATTTCATATGGTGAGTGTAGTATTCCGGATACCCTTTTCACTGCATACGAGGCATTTCATCTGTAATCCTTAAAGCTGACAATGCATCTGCATTTTGATTCTTAATTGAGGATAGATGTACATGCCTATGATCCAAGACATCCGTTTACCATCAAATGAATTGTGTACTCGCTTATCAACCCTTATGTTAAAAAATCCTCGAAACAATTAAAAACTTCCGAGTGAATTACCCAAATTGACACTTTCATTACAGAACACTAATTACAACTTAAAACCACACTAATAACAAAACATAATTGCACTACTGACCACTTTAGTACGCAGTTGTATCGCTTCGAAGTATTCGCTTGTGTCGCCAATTCAACTCTGACCCGGATCGCGGTCTATACCTTAATTATATCAGGCCTCAGATAGTTCAGAAACATGAGTACATTCCAGACCCAAATAACTAGATATCGATTGTTCTAAAAAGTTCTTCCCTGGGAATTTCTAGAAAAATTTTGACTCTCCTAGTTCTACTACTATAAGTTCAGTTATGTTACTGATTCATGTACGGCAGTTATTAATAAACTTAACTTGTATATGTGCTAATATTGTAATACTACTTCACGATAATAAAAGGCACTAGTAATAACAAGTGTCGCCATGTACCAGGCATTAATTGTGGCCCGCAACACTGCCCCCTCTTAAGACATGCTCGTCCCGAGCGTTATCGGCCCCATAATAACGCGCCAGGCGATCCACATGGATGATGTTAGGAGTACCTCTTGCACCTTTCTGTATCCGGTAGGTTACGTCTTTGATCCTTGTCACAATCCGGTATGGTACGGTCCGACCCATTTACCTTGAAGCTTAGATTTCCCTTTGCTGCGAACTGGATTATGCAACCACACTAGTAAACCTTCGTCGAACCCTTTGTTGTTCATTTTGTGGTCATACTATTTGCTGGACCGATTACCTGACATGCTCATAAATTTTTATTTTTATGTTATTCAAAGTAGAACAGCTACATTATATATATATACAAATGGTACACTAACATTAATATTGGAATTAAGACTAGGAGACCTGCAGCTGTACAGAATGTATTATAAATATATAAGTTTCAAAGTATTGTCAACAATGGTATTATAAAGTGACTAAGGTAAAAAATTATTATTTGAAAAATCTTGTATAAAAGACCACGAAACTTTTCCGTTGAACATGTTAAAATGTCTATATGCTCGAAGGTCTCATTATATGTGGCAACCATACGCCGAATCGGTGAACGAATTCCGGTATTGGATCCACAGGTACTTATGGGAAAGAGTTTACCCACACGCACCCGTCGTCTATGGACAGTTCAGGGAACCGCATAACATAACACATTATTTAATTCAATACAGTCAAACTTGCATATTACTATATGGAACAATGTCATAGCCTGTACTTGCTTACGTCTAGAGTGGAGGGTTAGAAGTTTATCGAAAAACTGAATAACTGGTCATATGGTAGATAAGATTTACGACGTCTATAACGTATTGCACGTAGAAACCGGCGTTGATTGATGATGAGATTAAATTATAATGCCTAGGCTGCACTTAAAGTATCGGGAATGGAATATTTCCACTGTTCCTGTCATATTAAAATCTAATCTCGTTAATATAAGAAGATCTCGATAATTAATGATTGGTTCCATCGTATGGAAAATGTGTTGAATTTCGCGGAGAATACTTCAAAAAGCAATAAATACATTTTAAATATATTGTTGTGTCACTTCCTTGATTCCCGAAATTTTCAGTGCCCCCCTCGTAGGTTATAGGTAACGAATAACCCCACCTCACTGCCATGTAAGGCGTCTGTTCCTCGTGTCCAAGTTACATCTGGGAGACAATTTTTTTCCATTTATTAAATTCAAATTTCTTTATTTGCCATAATAGGGTAAGTATTACAGTCCTTCACAAGTCCACTGCTGATTATAGGCCTCCCCCAAGGAATGCCACAAAGCACGGTCCTGAGCCACCTGCATCCATCGACTTCCTGCATGTCTTACCAGGTCGTCACTCTATCTAGTGGGTGTCGCCCTTCACTACGCCCATCGGTAGGAGACTGCCACTCGAGAACCTTTTTCCCCATCGGTTGTCGGTTCTTCGAGCTATATGGCTGGCCCCTTGACACTTCAGCTTACTAATCCGCAGGGCTATGTCGGTCACTCTGGTTCTACCGTGGATATCCTCATTTCTAAGTTTATCACGCAGAGAAACCCCGAGCATAGCCCTCTCAATACATTTTGAAACTGCAATATCCATTTCAGTGCAGCAAGGTCAGTGTGTAAGTAATATTTCCGCCCCAGCCAAAAAATACTAAACTTTTTCGATAAAACATTAAACTTTAAGGCCCCTGCGGGAAGGCAGAAGATGTTATTCAATTGAAGTGAAAAAAATGTAAATTGACTAAGGCACTAATCCCGCACTATTAGAATTTAAAATAAGAAAAATTAATAAATAATTTATTACTTTGCAACCTTCCGCTAACGAATTACAATGATGTGTCTTACCTGGATTAAAGAGCACCTCCCGCCCTCCCTCAATTGCATGCACTACGACAATACGACACGTGTTTCGCCTCTACACGAGGCATCCTCAGGTAATCTAGACTCTACGGCGACTGACCGCTAAGTGAGCGGCGAGCCGAAACAGCTGCTATTTATACACGCCGACTCAACCACTCCCCACCAAAGTAGCGAGTGACCGCGCCGAGCGATAACTAACCTGTGACTAATTGTTATGACTAATATTTTTTAAATATTATTATATTATTATTGTTATTATATTGATATTATTATAGTTATTTATTATTATTAATTTTAAAATTATTATAAAAGATTCGCCTTAAAGATGTTTAACAAAGGTGAATTAGAAACATTTGTTTGTTCATCCAGCAGTGCATTGTTACCATTATTATTTTAAAAATCTTCAACTACTCCAGCACACACAGCCGCAGCCCCTTACTACAAGTATGTAAGACTACAAAGGAATGGTCGCTGGCTAGGTTTTATCCAGTGTCCAAGAGATGTTTAGTAAAATGGGATTTATCAGGATTGCAATTTCTGTACGCGGCCAAATGCTCTTTATAGCGCGTCCCGAAATTGCGACCAGTCTGACCCTGTAAACGGCGTGGTATTCGTCACAAACAAGTTTATAAACACCCGATTTTTGACTAGTATTTAACTTATCTTTATTATTACAAATATTCCTAAGTGAATTGTTTGTTTTGAATACCACGTGAATGCCGTTTTTTCTAAGAATATTAGCTATTTTTTCCGATATGGAGCCTAAGTAGGGTAGTTTGACATATCGCCGGACACTTTGAGATCGAACCACGTACAAAGAATTGCGAACAACATGTTTTTGTTTCTTTTTAATAAGATTATTAATGAGATTTTTTGAAACCCCGTTAGTGACTGCAATTTGATAAATTATATTAAGTTCTTTTAAATAATTTTCTTTACTTAATGGAACAGTGAACAGACGGTTGATGTTACAATAAAAAGCGGCTAATTTATGTTGCCATGGATGACACGATGACGCGAGGATGACCGTGTCGGTACGAGTTGGCTTTCGATAAATTTGAAAAACAAGCAACGACTCTTTTCTTGTTATTGTTAAGTCAAGGAAAATAAGGGAGCGATCTTGTTCCAATTCAAGCTTAAATTTCATTTTTTCGTGGACTCTATTTTATTAAGGAAAACATCCAGTTGTCTCCTTGTGCCAGTCGTCTACATATCGATAATAGTATAAAATATTTTGGTTAACAACTATATGTTGTTTTTCGAAATTATCCATGAAAATGTCCGCCACAAGTGAACTTAGAGGGGACCCCATAGCTAACCCTTCTTTTTGTAGATAGAAACGGTTATTAAACCGGAAATAATTTTGTTTCATACAGAGAGAGGTTAAGTTAAGAAGATCATTTGTTTCCCCGGGATGTAGACGACGTTTTTCAAAGAGATCTGAGAGTATACGCAAACAGTCAGGGGATGGGACATTTGTGAAAAGACTATCAACGTCTAAAGATAACAACATAGATTTAGGTGGAATACGAATATCTTTAATTTTGGAAATGAGAGCTAAACTATTTTTAAGGCTGTAAGTTGGGTTGAAACCAGATTTCTCCCGAAGGAGGAAATTTAATTTTTTTGCAAGGAAATAAGCTGGTGCACCTATATATGAGACAACTGGACGAATAGGAACATGTTCTTTATGTAATTTAGGCAATCCATATAAAGTGGGTGCTTGATGATTCATTGGAACAAGATTGCTCCGAGACAAGTTGTGATCGGGAAAAACAAATGACGTCTTTTGTAGACCTACTTTAGTATCCGAAGTAAACTTTTTGGTTGGGTCAGACTCCAACAGCTCAAAGTCGTCACATTGGATAACATCGTTAACCTTTCGGCTATACCCGCACTCTCCATAATGACAACAGTATTTCCCTTGTCGGCTTTAGTAACAAAAAGGTTACTGTCTTTTACTATCTGCTTTAGTGACATAAAAATGGGGAACTCAGGATTGCAATGGGAAGATGCAGGTACATCCTGAATTTCTTTAGCTAACAAACTTTTAACGATGTTATCTTTCCTCACGATCACAACAGCCAACTCCGCGTCAACGGCCACAGTCTCTAACGATCTTTGGGAGACAGAAGGTGTTAAATTATACTTTAGGCCTTTGTGTAAAAGGGACAACTCATCCGTTGGAAACTGGATATCGGAAAGATTTTTAACGCGGGGATAAAATTGGTGATATTCAGTATGTATGTCGTTATTACATTTACGGGATGAAGAAGATACAAGTC